GGTTCTGCAGGCCACCTACTCCATAACATCTTTACTGCAACAAGCAACGTGTTGGTTGCTATTTTCTTAGAATTTGTAACATTATTTTTAAAGTCCAAAGCAGGCTGTTGAGGGGATCTTTAGGGTTCTAGGATCATACATATGCTGAGTGCCACTCCCCAGTTCTGCACCTTTAGAGCAAGGTGCCTCCCACCATCGTTCTGGACCCATCAGCCGTCCTACCCAGATTTGCGTGCACATTTCCCTAGTGGTCTAGTAATCTGTCTTTAAAGCGATACCTCGTGGACTTTGCAGTTGTGTGGGTGGGCATGCCCAGGGCTCCACAGGGGTGAGGTGGAACTTCCAGGGCATCCTCAGGCCAGAGCAGGCGCACAAGCACATGTAAGTTTTGATCCTAGCTGCACGTTTGTCCCACCCAGAGCTGAGCGTCAGCACCAAGCTGTTACCCTTCCAATAGCCTGTCTGGGAGCAGTTAGCAGAGGCAGGTCATTGTGCCTGGAGCCTGGAGGAGGGACTCAGAAAGTCAGCTTCTAGCCTGACCTGTCCACAGACCCTCCTGCTATTCAGCACAGGATGGGTAGGAACCATGTTGAAAGGGAAGGAGCAGGCTCCATCCCATGGAGGTGACGGTCATGAGAACACCATGAAATGGCCAGCTCCTGGGAGGCCAGGCATGTGGAACAGCTGCTCTGTTCTGTGTCTGCCAGGAGAGTGCGGAGGTCCGTCCCTGTGCCTTGCCGTTGCTGGCCCTGACCCCCAGACTTGCACACTGGCTGGCCGGAGAGGACTGAGTCATCAGCCTCACTGCTCCCCTTGAACAGGGACGCGGAGGGAGGCCCCAAGGGGCACGCCCAGGTCCTTCTGTACTTCATCTGCCTAATTCCCCCATTTCCACCCTAAGCAGTTGGATAAGTGGAATTGAACAATCACAGCTCACAATGCCACAAACTAGAAGCCCATTTGTCTCTCCTGACTCCTCTGCAACCTCTTGATCACCATATTCACCTGTATTCACTGTGAATATCAGCACAGATGCTGAACATCACTGTGTCAGTCCTGCACCAAGATCCCTGAAAAACAGAAAATCCTGCCGTATTTTGGAAAATAATTTTAAATAGTTGTAGCACTCTGTCTAAACACTTATCAAAGATGCCTAAATACATATATTTTGGATTCCTGACCTTCACAGATGGATTTTTATTAGTCAAAACTTGCTTGAGCCTGAGTTGAGATGTAGACACATTTTCTCTCTCTTTTTCCCTCTGAGGAATGCTGGGATGGAACCCAGGTCTCACACAGCCTAGACAAGCAGTCTGGCCCTGAGGTGCACCTCCACCCTTTTCAGTTTGTCTTTTGAGACAGTCTCTCTAAGCTGCCAAGCTGGCCTTGACCTTGAGCCATGTGCCTTTACCTCCCAGGCAGCTGGGATCACGGGTGCTGGAGGACGTGCTTTGAATGGCATGAAGCTGGAGGTCAGAGGTCGGGCTACCTGGACAGCAAGCCCGGGAGTGAGTGTTCCCGGGAGCACCTGTGTGCAGTTTATCAGAGTTGGGTCTCTGTTTCAGTCAGCTTTGGTATCGCCGTGACTGAAAGACCTGACGAGAAGTATTTCAGAGAAGGAAGAGGTATTGGGGCTCGCGGTTTCAGAGTCTCCGTCCACAGATGTCCGACTCCATTGCTCTGGGACTGACGTGAGGAGGCAGACCCCATGGCAGAAGGGTGTGGTGGAGGAAAGCAGCTCAGTCAGGAAGCAGAGAGCTCCCCTCTCAGGGACAGAGTACAAACCCCAAGGACACACCCCAGTGGCCCACCCCTCCAGCCAGCCGGTACCTGCCTGCATCACCTCTGGCTGATCCCCTCAGGAGGATTCGCACACTGTGAGCTTGGGCCCTCTGTCCAGTCCTTCCACCCAGAGTTCCTGCACTGCTTCACTGGAGGTCCGGGGCCACTCCCTCCTAACCCCAGGGGGCTCCTGGCTCCCCTTTCCACTCCTTTCTGTGACTCTTACCCGTCACACAACTCAGTGAATTCAACCTTGGCTTCTGCCTGCCTCGAGCTACCCTCTTGACAGCACTAAGCAACAGAGAAACGGACCATTCTTTCCAGGATAATGGAGGAGCGATGGGGTGGGTGCTGGAACTCAGTTCTGGGGTCACAGCCTGAGGGCGTTCAGCTCTGGTCCACAGGCCTCTTGCCCGGTCTGCTGGGAGGGCCACATGGCAGGGAGAGAGCAGGTCCCAGTGTGCAGGCTCCCGCTGGACCCGTGACTGTGACGCACACAGGACGGGACCTCAGGACGCAGCCTCTGGAGCGCGAGGGGTCTCACTGGGTCTTTGTCAGCTTTGTGCCCCTGGCAAGAACAGCCGCGGGAAGACAAGGCCGTCCGGGCTCCGGGTTTCAGAGTTCCCCTCCTTGGTGGCCTGCGGGCTCCACTGCTCTAGGCCTGAGGTGAGGTGAGTGTCATGGCTGGAGGGCGTGGTGGTCAGCAGCTCAGCTCACAGCTGACAGGAAGCAAGGAGAGAAGAACCAGGGGACAAGATATAAACCCAAAGGCACAGCAACAGTGACCCGCCTCCTCAGCCTCCCCCGCCTCCTGCAGCCACACCCTGTGACTGCAAACTCAGCATCCACAAATGGGCTGTCCCCAGTACCTCACACTCCCCACCTAGCCACCTCTCCTCCCGTGGACGCCCAGGAGCTTTGGAGGGCCACGTTATAGTCGACCCTAACAACTGGGTCTATGAAATTCAGTGCATTTAAAACATTCTCTCTCTTCCCTGAGCCTCAACCTGAGGAAATTGTGCCCTGATTGGGAGAAAGGGGAAGACAAAGATTACAAATTAAACTCTGTTTCCAAAAGCGAAGTCTCACAGTATAAAATGGTACGCTTGCTCTCTTCAATGTATCCTTCCTGATGGCTTTTCTTGGCATAAAAGAATAAATTTCTGAAGTTCAGTACAAAACCATATAAAGTTACTTACAGTAGCTATCATTACTTTTAAAGTAAACATGATTAAGCAATAAAAGAATAAATGCTAAAGTGGCCCTTTCAGGATGCTTTTTCTAAATGTAAGTTACTGGAGAGGCCACCAGAGCTGGTAAGTGGGGTGGGCAGTCTCGGGCCCATGGAGACCTAGCAGGAGCGTGGGAAACGTCTCGGAGCCAGGCCAGGCCCTGCTGGTGCAGCGCCTGAGCTCAGGCTTAAAGCTGCACAAGAGTGGACGGCTGGGGTCCCCGCGACTCTGAGTGAGGGTGCCCCTCCGGTGTTGGCTGGCCTGTGGCTGCTCACAGGCAGGTGTGAGCCCAGAAAATGAAAACCCTCCTGGACTCATGGACCAGGAATTCTATGCTTTCTGCTTACACTTCTTTAAACATCTAGGTAAAAGTAAAACTCCAGACAATTTTGAAACTCTTTGCATTTTAGTTTCTGGGGCTGAAAGAGAACAGAAAGGGAACCATGATTTATTGATTCCGTGTCTACTATACATTGAGCGCGATGCTAGACGTTTTAGCAGTTATGGAATGCTCCCAGCAACAGAGCCACGTTGGCAGAGTAAAAGGCCTTCCAGAGCCACTGTAACTGAAGCAGGATTAGCACTGCATAGACTAGCACTGGCGTGGAGGAGAAGAGAGTCCAAAAGCAGACCCAGCAGGAATCCAGCAGGCAGCACGAGGGCTGGGTGGGGACTGGGCTGCTTATTAGTCAGTGGTTAGTGGAAGAACCATCATGCAGCTCCAAAAAGAACTAGCATCCCCCTCTGAGTGCAAATAGATGCCTGGAAGAACAGAGAATTAAATGCAGGGAAGAAAACAAGGCATGCAAGTCTCACCACAAATGGTGGAAATCCTGGTTTTCACCTTAGTGGGTGACAACTTAGCTGGGACCTCAGCCGGGTTGAAAGCTGTCTCCTAAGCCACTGTCAGTGCCATTAGTGCAGGGTTTGGGCCAGAGGTGGACAAGTGGAGCTAGCAAGGAGGCCACTGAGCGGGGCTGAGCCTGCCCTTCTCAGGAACTACACGTGCCCACTGCAGGAAGTCCCACAGTCTGGTCACCACCCCCAGGCACAGCTTGGGCTCCCAGGAGCTGGCTGCATGTTTCCAGATTTGGGGGTCTTTCACATCCTGCTCCTCTCCTAGAATCTCTGCCTCACAACTCCTGTTTTCATCCTGAGCTCCCAATTAACCTGTAAGACTCAGGTCGACGCCATCTCCTCCAGGCTCCCTGCTCTTCACCTGGCTCCATCACGCCAGCCGGAGAGCGTGACGCAACTCACTTCCCTCACAAAACATGGAGCTCCTTTCTGAATTCCTTAGGAGAATAGGGTTTCGTCCATACTTCTGTGTCCCCAGGCCCGTGACGACTGCCCTGGCCCCCAGGCGTCCTCGGTTTTGGCAGGACATAAAATGGCAAGCTTTCTGCCACTGCAGGTGGCCTGAGACTCTGGTGGCTCTGCCCCCATCACCTTGCCCATGCTGCCCTGATGGACTCCATAGGGTGCTCAGGACGCCCACCTCCACCCTCAGTGTGTCTGGATTCAGAAGCTCAGTGTCCCAGGCACGTACCTGGCAGTGGAAGCACCCTGCTGAAGCGTCCCCTCTCCTCTTGACCCTCTGTCCTGGCAGACTCCCCTCACAGGGAGAAGGCACATCTTGTTTGGCCTATCTGTCACGTTCTTGGTACAAAGCACACCTCAGAATCACGCAGATGTGTCTAATCAAAGCCCTGAGAAGAGAGTGAATAGTTCGCACTTCAGGGTTGATGGACATATATATACCCTGCTGCAGAGCATGGAGGCCTCCCAGTTAAATGTTGCCACCAGATCAGGGTCAGCAGACTATTCCTAAAATGGTCTGCAAGGAGGGCCTGAACCTGGTCTGCCACGGCCCTGCGTGGCCTTGCTCCATAGAGCCCCGGGGACAGCATGCTGGGTGGGGGCAGCCCCATACCCTCTGGGCTGCACTACAGGGCCAGGACTCTGATGCTGCTCGTCTGTCCCCAGATGGATGTGGACGCCGAGGAGAAGCGCCATCGCACACGGTCCAAAGGGGTTCGAGGTAGGCCCCCTGCATCCGCAGTCACTTGTGTCCCCTGGTCACTTTGGTGATCCTGACCCCCAACACCCTCTGGTGATTTCCTGGGGGGGTGCCCATGATAGATGATACAGCTCACCTCTTCTCCATCTTTCTGCAGTTCCCGTGGAGCCAGCCATACAGGAGCTGTTCAGGTCAGTGCTCTGTGGGTCAGGCCTGCCCCCACCTGCCCTGCAGACACCCTCACCTGCAGTGGGGCACGGCACTCAGCTCCCCGCAGCCTGCCACACCCTGCTGCTCTGATGACGTTGCCCTGGAGACTGGCTAGTGAGCGGTGACCCCCACATGTGGCTGTCTGGGCGCCTCCTCCTCTGAGCCGTGGCGCGTGGCTGCTGGGTAACCTCTTCTTTCCTGTTGCAGCTGTCCCACTCCTGGCTGTGACGGCAGTGGCCATGTCAGTGGCAAGTACGCCAGACACAGAAGGTAATGCCTGCCTTGCTTGCTGTGCTGTCTGTGGTGCCTGGCTGCCCGCCTGGCGGTGGAGATGCGGGCAGCTCTGGGAGGTCTGCATGCCATGCCCCCGCTCCTCCCCTCGCCTCGCCAAGCTCTCATGCGGACAGCCTTCTGCCTCAGAGGAGGTTCTCACCACACAAGCCACCCGACTTTGGCAGACGATGATGCCCCAGGGGACCCCACTCATCAAGGACACCCACTCAGCACGCAGGCACCAGGGCTTCCTGGGGAGAGCGGGCTCCTCCTTCCCATCTGCTCCTCGCAGTAGCAGCAAGACAGCAAACCGTAGCAGACAGGTTGAAATGGGACCTACTGACCTGGGAAAGGTAGCCTGAGCTTGGCACCTGGGCAGCTGCCAGGTGAGGGCAGTCCGGGGTGCCAGGTGGGTAGATCACAGCAGCCAGATATGGCGGAAAGTGACAGTTATGATGCGTGTGCAGATGGTGAGGCGGCCAGTGGCCTAGTGGCTGGACACTCATCCCAGCAGGAGCCGCCGCCTTCCCATGGCCTGTGGCTGGACGTGGCTGGCCTTTCATGGAGATCCAGGGTTTCCTGGGGGTGCTTTGCTAACTGTCGGGATTTTGGTTGAGGACTGAGCTCGCTCCATCCTGAAAAGCCCTCTGTGGCCAGGCCCACACCACCACTCCTGCGTGGGGCTGCAGTGGCTCTCGGTGACCTCTCCCCCTGCCTGTTCAGTGGAACAGTAAGTGTTGGGTGAAATCAAGCAATTATTTTGGCTGTCAATCAGTGAAATTAAAGGAAAAATTACAAACGACTCCCCAAGGCTGTGGTAGCCAAGCAGGTGGCCAGGTAGTGAGTGCCATGAAGAAAGGGCCGTCTGCCACCCGGTGACTTGCCAAAGGGTCACTAGACATTTCCCCCACCAGGATTTTTTATTTAATTTACTAAATTTGATTAATTTTGTTATTGCTCTTGTGGCGTGCGAGAGTAACTTGCTGGGCAGTGTCGCTGACGTAGGCACAGCTTGGGGTGCTGGCCAGGATGTCCACCTGGGCGCTCCCAGCCTCCAGGCTCAGGGCTGCTCTGTTTCCAGCAGAAGCAGATCAGCACATCATGAGCCAAACGGCTGCATTCTGCTACAAAAAGAAGTTACTACGTTTGGCTGCAAAGTTTTAATTGAATATACGCTAGGTATAATTTTATAGCTACGGTTTTGAAGAAAAAAAAACATGAAGTTCCCCCAAAATTATTTCAAAAACACGTTGGTTTCCGTGCCCTGCAGGGGATTGCAGGGGCATCGATGGGCACACTAGGCCTGGCAGCCCCTGGTGTATGCAGAGAGCATCTGCCTCTGCCCCTACTTCTCCCCAGATACCCATGTCCTCACCAAGGTGCACTCAGTTGGCACCAGATTGAGGTGCCCTTGCAGGAAGCCCGTGTGCTGCTGTCCATGGGGCTGGACAGTGCGGCCTCGCCTTCCTCCCAGCTTGGTGCTCGCATGTGGCCACAGAGGCCCAGGAATCTCAGGGAGCTAATTGGGCGGGGTGTGGGAGGGCTCGTGGGGAGCCACGCTGGACTGTTGCGCACAGGTTCTCCCTGATCTTACACAGCACCGTCGTGTTTTTACCATGACTCCCCCGTCATTACTAGGATTCCTAGTACCGCCGCAGAAACGCGCTTTCAGGAGACCCGGTGTGGTGTAGTCGGGAATGAACTGCCCCCACTATCCAGCATGCACAACTGAATCTGGTTCCCCCATGCCACCAGGTGTCCATGGGGCCTGGAAGGAGGCCAACACGCAGGACCCTGTGTCCCTGGCTGCAAAGGGGGTGCAGACTGCTGTGTAGGACCCAGCGCCGTTCAGAAGAGAGGCCACTGTCCAGACTTGCAGGGGGTCTCTCTGAGGTACACAGGGAGGTTTCCTAGGATTTATTTATGTTTATGCCTGTACAGCATCAGTAATTTTTAGCTAAAGGATGACATTCCATTTCTTAAATCAAAAAAAAAATGCTGCCTATTGTAGCCAAAGGTGCATGTATGTCAACATCTTATAACGAGGGCTATTTCAAGAGATTCGGAAGGTTTTGTGTATACCTGGCTTTGTTGTCTTTGTTCTTTACAGTTTTAAAAGATTCTACAGTTGAAAAGTTCACTTTTGTGACAGCTACTTGTGCTGCGTCCGTCACCTGCTCAAGCTGCCTAGAGCAGCTGCAGTGCTGGCCTGGCCTGGGGGTCCCTGGTGTGGCTTGGCACCTCGTGCCTTCAGAGGAGAAGCAGAAGCCTCAGCGTTGGCCACGGCAAGATCATCTGTCCTTTTTAGTCATTTAAGAAGACACTGTCACCAATGTATCCCCTGAGGCCAGTTTCACCTTGCTCATGTGTCCCCTCGCTTGTGGCCAAGTGAAAAGGGGCTCTTCTGGCACGGCCAAGTCCCACCAAAGAGGCAGGCAGTAGCGTGGGGCAGAACGGGGGCCAGCATCCTGGGGGATGATAGGCACATGATGAGCCACCCACCTTTCCCCCTTTGCTTTCACATGAGAGAGCCCCGGCCTCACACGTCTCAGTGTGGCCACCTCGTGCTCTCCCCCCCACGTCCTGCTGCCCCGGGGGTCGCTCTGAACTTCTGGTAGCAGCCTTGGGGTGGACGGCTTGTTTTCTTTTCCTGTGTGAAGGACAGAGGGTTGTGGATTTGTAAGAAACTGGGAATCAAGAAGAATCAACCGCCAAATGAAACCTGAGAGAGGAAACAATATTTTGAAAGAGGAATGCAGATTTTTTTTTAATTTTTTAATTTGTTCTAATTAGTTATACCTGACAGTGGCATGCATTTATGCACTGTGATATATCATACATAGATGGGTATAACTTCTCATTTTTCTGAGTGCACATGTTGCAGAGTCACATTGGTCATGCAGTCACATAGATACCTACAGAAATAATGTCTGCTTCATTCCACTATCTTTCCTATCCCACATCTCCTCCCCTCCCCTCCCTTCAATTCCCTCTACCTAATCTAAGGTAATGCTATTCTTCCCTAGTGCCCCCCCACCTTATTGTGAATTAGCATCCACATATTAGAGAGAACATTCGGCCTTTGGTTTTGTGGGATTGGCTTATTTTGCTTAGCATGATATTTTCCAACTCCAACCATTTATTAGAAAATGCCATACTTTCACTCTTTTTTAAAGCTGAGTAATATTCCATTGAGTATATATACCACATTTTCTTTATCCATTCATCTACTGAGGGACCCCTAGGTTGGTTCCATAGTCTAGCTTTTGTGAATTGAGCTGCTATAAACATTGATGTAGTCTGCTGATTTTAGGTTCTTTGGGTATAACCCGAGGAGTGGGATAGCTGGGTCAAATGGTGGTTTCATTCCCAATTTTCTGAGGAATCTCCATACTGCTTTCCATAGTGGTTGTACCAATTTGCAGTCCCACCAGCAATGTGTGAGTGAACCTTTTTCACCACATCCTTGCCAACATTTATTGTTGCCTGTGTTCTTGATGATTGCCATTCTGACAGGAGTGATATGAAATCTTAGAGTAGTTTTGATTTGCATTTATCTAACTGCTAGAGATGTAGAGCACTCTTTCATATATTTGTTGATAAATTGTATTTCTTCTTCTGTGAAGTGTCTGTTCAGTTCCTTAGCCCATTTGTTGATTGGGATGTTTGTTTTTTGGTGTTAAATTTTTTGAGTTTTTTATATATCCTAGAGATTAATGCTTTATTAGAGGTACATATGGTGAAGATTTTCTCCCAATATGTAGACTCTCTCCTCACTTCATTGTTTCTTTTGCTGAGGAAAAAACTTTCTTAATTTTAATCCATGGAATGCAGAATTTAAGATCCTGGTTAAAACTGGCGGGTAGGAGTAAGGTTATAATATTTGTTTCATGAATATTTTACATTGATTCCAAAGCTGTATCTTTGAACAAAAGATATTTGTAGATATTTATTTGTGTTAACAATTCATGAAGTATTTGCAGTAGCTGGTAAGCCTTTGTTCAAGTGCAGTTAAATGTGGAAGTTCAGCATCTCTCAGGGTTTGTGAAGTATTACATTAGGCTGAGCCTCCTACAAAGTACAACTGTGACATATATTTATCTTCAGAAACATCATTAGTATCTGGACACAGGCATCTACCATTTGTTTTTCCCAACTGAGATTTCATATTAGTAGCATATAATATCACAAAACACCATGAAATTTACAATCAGGGCGAGAAGTAATTCTTGTATCACGAACCCAAATGCGACCTCTGTCTCTCCTGCGCACGGTAAGCCTGGCCTCTGACTTTTGGCTCTCGTTACCATACCGCTGTGAGGTGGCTCAGTGTCCCACCCCCCAGCCCTCGCGACCTCCACCAGGTCATGCTCGGAGGTAGCTGGACACATTCATGCACCTCACACCCGGTCCCTCCACAGAGCTACCCCTTTCAGAGGCACACACTCTGCCTCAGTCACCCCAGGTCTCTTGGGTTTAGGTCCCTGGACCCGGGAAGGATGTGCCCTGGTAGCCATGGCCTCCACACCTGCACTTCCTCCAGCCCCAGAAGGCTGGCTGTGGTCCCGTGAGCTTTGAAATGCCAGAGACAAGAGCCCCGTCGTGTGCCCAGAGTGACACCCGGGCCAACGGGGTGCAGGGAAACGCTGGGATGCTGGGTACTTGGAAGCCACCAAATCAGGTCAGGGAGTCACTCGTCTCCTGACCTGCCCAGCAGGGAAGGCTCCAAGGTGGCTCCAGGCCCAGGCGGGCAGCTTGTTGTGAGCAAGCCACTCAGTGCAGAGGCCAGCCTGGGCTCCTGCTGCCACTCAGCTCCCCACTCCGCACCAAACCCCAGCGGAAGGTAGGCTCTGGGGTGGGACTCATCCCCGTGTTACTGTGGCATCCCACAGACGGAAGACTGGCACCTGTGGGCAGAGCAGGGCTCTGTCTAGAGAAAGCTCTCCTCTCCCTACACTGTGGCTGCTCCAGCATGTGCCGCCGTCCGTCAGGAGGCA